CATCAGCTACTTCATAGGAGATGGATGTACTTTTCCCATGGATATCCTCCATAAACTCATTGACGACGCTCTCATCAGGTGCAACATATGCAGCATCAGACTCGTTCACTGCAGCTGTGGGCGGATTGCGAGCTGACAGTGATCGCTTGGGTGGAGTCTCCCCAAGATGGGTGTGTTCATATGCATAAGCGTACTCAGATTGATCTAGAAAGAGAAATATTACTGATAATGTACATTCTATCACATGACCAAAAGGCGGGAGATCCCATGAGATAGCACACGCTTGCGCAAGTCATTGCATGGTTTTCGCTTCACGCGACCAGACGTATTGTTTTCCTTTGTTTCAGATTATGATAATTAATACGAGACAATGGAAAATATAAAACAAACTGGTTTAAAAATTCTCAATCCAAAAACAAATTTAAACCACAGCACAACTATATACATGTACATTGTCAAACACCTTGGTTCATGCAGTTCACACAATAATAATTATTATCAAACACATTACCTTCAGCTGACGCAACTCTATGTATGTCGCCATCTGACACAGATTTGCTGACAGCAGGTTTAACAGGGCCTCCTTGTGTGTGGTAAGAAGCAGAGTATGGGCGAGGGCGTGGCACAGCAGGTAAGGGTGGAACTTTTAGTGATGGTACTTTCTCTATTACAGGGACACCCCCTGGGGAAGAGGTGGTGGTCTTCTGTTGGCTAGCGAAGATTCGGCTGAGGGGAGTTTGACACCGGGACGACGAGATTTAGTTCTTGTTGCCAACCTTTTCTTGCGACGCTCTGGTAAGGATGATTTCCTAACAAGGCCTTAATAAATGAAATGAAAAATACAAAACAATAATATTACAATAAAACTACATGTAATTTCTGAAATAATGTACAAGTTAGTTCACATACAGCTAAATTATCACCTTGCTGTAACTTGTACCTGAATGAAGTACAGTCTGACAACTACTCTGCCGTTCTCAAAATCACTGAACCCTTTCTGACCTTTTCTCGTTTTTGCTCTTTCAATCTTTCTGCTCTGCTTTTTTTCATCATTGATCTAAAGCAGACACCCTCAGGACATAGTTTTGAGTCCGTAATAGCGAGAGTCCGCAATAGCAGGAGTCATTTTCAGTCAAACCTACAGATGAACATGTACATGTATATATATATAATATAGCTAGGGCTGGATTTTGTCCGTAATAGCGGGTGTCCGTAATAACAGGGTGTCCGCAAGGCGAGAGCTGACTGTATTGTTAAATTATTCACTGCTAAACTTAGATAAGGAGTAAACATGCTTTATTCATCAGATTATTCACTAGTAGTAAAATGACTTAAACCCTTTCACCCCTGGGTGGGGCATAGGTCTTTCAATACACCTCTCCATCCTGTTCTATCCCGAGCTTGTCTCTCCAGCTGCTGCAAGTTGAAACCCGTCTCTCTCATTAGTAATTAAAAATAACAACCACTAAATAAGCATGCTTACCATCTATCTCCTCTGGGGTGTCATCTGCTGGATTACTTTCTCTGTCTTCAAGACTTTCTACTGTTGAACTTCTTGACCTCGCCCTCGCTACAGCATCTGCTGAAGGAGGACTGGGTCTGCGTGGAGGATGCTTTTGTGTTTCCTGCCCTGTTATGTGAGTATACAAAAAATTACATGTACATTGTACCTCAGGTGTTATACATGTACAATAACAAAGTCATGTAAAAATTAAAGACTCATTGAGTGGTTCCACAAAATATCCATACCCACCCCAAGGAAGTCATTGGAAATTCCGAGGGGGAGGGGGTCTCAAAAGCCAAACTGGAAATTCCTGGGGGGAGGGGGGTTCAAACCAGAAAACCTTCTGTGGGGGTGGTATGGATGTATTCTGGAACCACACATTTCCACTGCATGGGGCAGAGAGGAGAATTGCTATTCATGCCAATGGGACACTAGTCCATCACAGGGTACCCTTCCACAAACTAGTTATTATAAACTTTACACTCCTGGGTTGAGTCAAGAGAGACACTGCGAGAGTACATGTACATGTACGTGTCAATGTCTGTGTACATGGTAGGTCAGGCTACTGTCAAAAATGTTTGCCAAGAACCAGTGGGTGTGGCTTACATGTATCTATGGGAAATTGTGAAGAACAGATCCCCAAAAAACCTGTCAGCCAACTGTTGGCCGACTGTTTTAGGCAAAAGTGTTGGTCATCTGTCTGCCAACATGCAATCGGCCAAGTGTTGGTGACCTGTTGGTAAGTTTTCGATTACAATTTTCGAAGGCATTACCTTATTTATCGTAGCCATTACTTATTGCAGTGTGGCTTATACATTGTACATTGAGCATTTATAGGAATAACTTACCTCGAGGAGATGTGGGCTGACTACATGTACTTGGAGATTTCTGTGGTGCAGCTCCAGGTCTGGGAAGAAGTTTAGGTTTGGCTGCATCATTAGACTTTGCCAAGCCTGATACAGCTTTGGAGTCAGACTTGTCTGGCAAGAAACTTGTTGGTAGGTGACGTGGTGAAGGCCTTGGTGAAGAATGAGGTGATGGTCTTGGCGAAGTACCAGGAGAAGGACCAACTTTGCCGCTATTGTTATCCCGGAATGGAAATACAGGTATTGTTGATAACTTTTGTGCTAGAGCGGCAACGGATGATTGTGAGCAGTCAGTTTTAGAAGAGGAAGATAAATCAGGCGGAGGCTTTTGAGGTAGTGGTGGTTTACTTGACGGCACTTCACTAGATGATGGTTTTTGTCCAGGAAGTAGCATTCCCTTTGGTAAAGATGGAAGAGGCTTCTTTGGTGGTAAGGGCTTTGATTTATCACCAGCTGATTGTAAATCAATAGTTCTTGCAGCTGAATTAATATTCTCAGCACACTCCCCAAAAACGTCTGGTTGTCTTGTGTCACTTGATTTAGGCGGGTAGTGTGGAGAGGTTTTAGTTGCAATGCCACTACTTTTACGGGGGACAAGTGGCGAATTTTTGCTAGCCAAGTTGCTCATTTTACGGGGGACAGGTGGGGAAGTTTTGCTAGCGGTGCCACTTATTTTACGGGGGACAGGCGGGGAAGTGTCACTTATTTTACGGGGGACAGATGGGGACGTTTTGCTCACACTGCCACTTATTTTACGGGGGACAGGTGGGGAAGTTTTGCTAGCAGTGCCACTTATTTTACGGGGGACAGGTGGGGAGGTTTTGCTAGCTGTACTGCTTATTTTACGGGGGACAGGAGGGGAGGATTTACCAGCTGTTCCACCTGCTTTGGGGGATGTGTTGGGGTAGAATCTCCATTAGCTCCACTTGTTTTATGAAGACGTGATTGAGTGATTTTGTCAGCCCTGAAAATTAAACAAAGGCAGGTTACATTGTAGGACTAATAAAGAAGTAGTGACATAGATCATTCAAAAACTGCAGTAATTAACCCTTTCATTCCCAGAGCCAAACCTTGAGTCAATACATGTGGTTCTACCTTTTAAGTCTTTGGACTGAAACCCTAGTGTGTGACCATTCAATTGAAAGCTATTGAGCAGTACTTTCATGTGGTGCTGTTTCATTTCGATAATTTTGCAAATGAAATTCACGATTTTTTCCCTCAGTTTTGAACCTAGCTCTCTTGGGAGTGAAAGGGTTAATATAACCTACACTGTTGTACTACATGTAACTATTGATGCTTGCTGGCGAGTTCTTTTGTCTATTTTATTTTATTTTCAGTCCTTCTCAAAGGAGGAGGCTTCTTGTCTGACGATTCACGGTCACCTCCATGTACATGTGCAACTGTACATGTAACACGATCTGCAGCTTGAGCTTCCCAATGGCAATGATCAATGTTGCAAATGTTGGTTACCCAAAAGCAAACAGCTACAATATCCAGTGATCTTAGTGCAATGTAGGAAATTATTATTATTATTACTATAATTATTATTATTATTAAAAACTGACCTTGGTGTTGACGCCTGGCTGTCTTCATATTTGTCTATTTTTATCATATCCTCATAAGAACCTGCATCTTCTGAGCTTGATGACGCACTTTCTCTTCTTGGTCTTCTAAGCGGTTCATACCACTCATCATCCATAGAATCTGCACGTCCATTTTCAGTGCGCCTTGTTTCAACATTGTTTATACTTTCTTGAGAAGCTGGTAAGTCGCTAGAGGATGAAATGTTTTTACTTGTCTCTGTAACAGAACGTGGTTTAACTAAAGGTCTCTTATCAATTGGCGACTCATTATTATTAGTTACTGTAACACCATCATTAGGGCTGGGTGCAGTTGGTGGTGGTCTTCGTGGTTTTGGAAGTAAAACAGGCTTTGGTGGTGTTCTCTCGGGCTTTTCATTCTGTGTAGTATTAGCTCCTTTGAGCTGGTTTCGTGGTCGAGGTAGAGGGCGTGGTTTAGCAACAGGGAGGGGATGGTTGAGGCTTTTCTCTAGCCTTTAAGATTCTGTCTTTGTCTTCTTCCTCCATGCCTGAAAAAATAGATCAAAGTGTTAATTACTTAATACTACTACTGTACTACTACTGTACTGTACTACTACTGCTGCTGCTGCTGCTACATTGACCGCTTGAGTCAGGCACGATGTCGGACACATCACACGTACCACTCCAGCATGAGTGTTCTTAGTTCTGCGGTTGACGCAGCACCGCTGTCCTCCAGGAGGGTATTGAGGTTCATCCTCCCATGTGTGGGCTCACAGATTAATTACTTGACATCACATAATTATATACATCTACAGTACATTATGCAATACACTAACTGTATTTTCTCGATTAATGACGGGGGAGTTTATTGAGTTTATTTAAAACTCAGCCTTGTAGGTTAAGTCTTCACGAGCCTAGTAGCCCACAACTGCCGGAGCTTATCCCGGTTTCCGGTTTCTGTAGCATGAGCTGACTAGGAGTTTTGCTACTCCCCTGGATGGGATGCTAGTCCGGTACCCATTTATACTCCTGGGTGGATCTCGAGAGTCCCTTTGAAAGTTAAGTGTCTTGCCCAAGAACACAACACAATGATCCAGGCCAGGGCTCAAGCCCGGACCGCTCGATCCAGAGTCCAACGCACCAACCATTAGGCCACCGCATCTCCCACGTAGACCTGGTGTTTATTTGAGCCCGGCGTTTATTAAACACACTTTTTTTTGTCATGTTTGACAGTCTCATGTTTTTGCTGATGTTACATAAAAGTTTTCTGAATTAAATGCAAAATTTACTAATCTAAAACATTAACAAAAACGTCAAAGTTCTATACAAGACCAAAATGTCACCAACATTGTCTCTAGTCATAAACTTTCATTGATAGCAAGTCATGGTGAATGCGGTACTTACTGTTGAGTGAGCAAAACTGAAAAATTGAACTGGTATATACTGTATTAATCGATGAGAATCAGTTACATGGCTGGATTCAAATAAAATGCCGGACCTCAAATAAACACTGGGACCACGATTAAACACCACCAGTGTTTAACTCAACCTGATAGATCCGGCGTTTATTCGGAGCTCGGGGGGATTTGAAATCATTGACAAAGGTACATGACATTGTACTTATTTTGGGGGGTTAAATATTTGTCACAAGGAGAATTATAGTAAGAGTATTGTTGGAGGTTTATATTTATGTATCATATACACATGTATGATATTTTGGGGATTAGCAAATCTTCATGAATGTCTCCCTGACGTCTTTGAGTACCACCGGGTTGACATTTAAATGTGATCATTTCAAATGGTCACACACGTAGCCCAAGCTCGTAAGGTACACGTACGTAACGGTAAAAAATATAAGGATTTGTATGGGGAAAAAATTTAATGGTCTATTCTTTCGCTAAAAATAATTTTGAACCAGTTTTCAATAAAAAAATTGCCTACAGTACCTTACTTCTGATGTGTGTTTCTTTGCACCCTATGTGGTTACTGGGTCAATTTAGCGAGATTCCAGTGAGTTTTAGCTCCACTCTTTCCCCTACACATGTATATAACATAGATGTAACGCCAACTACATGTATAGAATAGATGTTTTTTTATACAAATTTTTATATTTTCGATGGTTATGTACCTTATGAGCTTGTGATGGTCATAGGACCGAGTACAGTCCAAATTATTTAATGGTCTGTAATAATACATGTAAGTCAAGTGATTAACAAAATCAGATGACAGTGTAGCATGACCCTGCAAGCATGATCAGTATATATATATATGCTTACTACAGACTGAATTGGATGAGGCAAGGACTAAAAGAAAAAAATTATTTCCATGATATAAACAAATTATTTTGTTAAACGTAGTTCTAGTTCTTTCATCTGATCAGCATTAAGGAATTAATATTATAATTTTTTTTTTATATCAACATCTTGCTCACTCTTTGATCACTCAAGATCTAGATTGATCTTATAGTTTACATGTAATATATAGCAACAAATGGATGTTGAAAAGGACCGTCAGTGCTATTTATGGGTCCATTTAACACATAAATTATTAGCACCAGTGGGAATTCTAAACGTGCATGGAAATTAATCAACAGTTGATTTTGCTACGTACACTGTAAATGTGAATCACCATCACAAATTGCATGTAACAGTATTGTCAAGACTACAGAGATATTGATCAAACGTTCTAATCTAAGTTTGATGTTACTAATTGACCAATATCATAAATAGTGATATTGAATTTGATGAACTCTTGTTTGTTATGAGTTTCTGTAGCTGATATACGTGACTTTACTAGTTTAGTAACTTACATGCAAATATTGTAAAGGGTTCATCATATAAGCTTATATGACTCGACACAACAATGGATAAAACTACAAAGTAGGTTACATGTACAATATCAATGTAAGCCTCGTGTATAGAGTGCATGGCAATAGATCCGTTTTAGAATACAAATTTAGATTGTCAACGACAATGTCACAAAAGCTTATACTTATGTTGGATAGACAGAAGCTTAAAAAAATAACCTTTAGTTAGTGAATAATCCTGTAAATTAAAGCAAGTTGTTTCAATGTTTGTCATGTTGTTTGCGTATACGCTCTGTCTCAAAATAAGCATAATTTTCCGCTTCTGTCACAGGCAACGTTACTTTACTCGCCATAGATAAATTAAGCTTATATCAAATTCGTAAATTTAAGCTGCAGATAAAAGTGGCAACGTACGGTTTATTTCCAATTCCCAGCTGATCACGTACACTTTGAAAACAAAATAAAGAGCTACATGTAAGCTTATGAAAACCAGTCATCAAAAGATACGATAAAGATGAAAACAGTCGCCAGTACCTCAAGCAAGTTTACACATAAACCTTTACCCGCATCGAGAGTTTAAATTAACCAGTAGCACTCAAACATAAATAAATATTCTTGTCAAGATGTGAAGCTCGCAGTTTCGACACGATCATTTTGCACGATCGAGAAACTGAATTATTTACAACTCACCGAACACAAGCTGCCCACATCAGACTGTGAAGGACGATCAACACAAAGCCACATCCATTGGAATATAAGGATAATCGCCTTATCGCCTGTCTTAATGTATCAAAAACAACATTATAGACTTTCTAAAGTATCGGAAATAACAATCGCAATTTCGCCATTTCTAAGAAGCCAAATGCGCAATGCACAAACAAAATTAGAAGAGTTTGCGCATTTTCGTATGGGAGACTGGGTAGGACATTTTTTTCGATTTTTTCACAATATATTTTCCTTTTTACTCACCTACGCTTTGGACCAACGCGTAAATAACCATGTCTTCAAGAGATATCTTTCCTTTCTCCTTCTGAGTACCGAAAAATAACATAAGACGGATTTTTCGACGTGTAATTAACGGTATTGGACCAAGAGGCACAAGTAAATCTCATGTTTCCGACTTCCCGTTAAATGTTCACGTTGTCACATGACCTCACATCGTTTCTTACTCATCTTTTTGCCTAATTCGACCATGAAAATAAACACGGATTTCACAACGCCTAAATGGTGCTGACCGATGCGTGATTCAAGATACGTATATGGCCTCAGCGCCAAAAATAAACTAAAATAACACAGTGATTTTCAGTTCCGGAAGTCATGGGTTCACTGAAAAACCGGAAGCGACAAGCACACCTAAGACATTGAGTCAACACATTACGTATGTAAATTGCGTATGTTCAGTTGGGAGTTGTATTTCCTTGTTTTACTCAATTCTGTCTTGTTGTTTATCCCTGACGGAATTAATATTCACTGATATACCATGCATTGTAAATGTATTTGTTTACAGTCAACTGGCTCTAAGACGGACACCATGCATCGGGTGACCGGCTTATAGAGAGTTTAGATGCAATAAATGACTGAAAAACGGCGCAGGGACCAACAACAGTTCAGTCGGTCTTATAGAGGTGTTCGTCTTATAGAGCTGTGGTGCCCGTCTTATAGAGACAATTAATAGAGGTGTCTGTTAAGAGAGAGTTGACTGTAGTCATTGTCAAGTATATACACTCGAAGCTCTCTGAGCGGACACTCCCCGTAAGTGGACAGCTCTATGTACTTACTGTACTTCCGCCTTGACAAAACCCAGTTTGAACAGAACTGTAGCTCACATAAACTCTGTATTAACACATTCCCGTAAGCTCCAGTTGCGGACACTTTTTCTGCTTCCCGAGGGTCTCCGCTTACGGGAGCTTTGACTGTATATTTTCTTGATGGCAACCCCCAAGTAGCCTGCGTCGCAGACGGACTTGACCGCCCCCAAGGGGTGTCACTTTCTAGGCATTCCTACCTTATTCTTACTAATTTTCGCGCGTACTTAATTTCGCGAAATCGACAGAGCCGTATTTCGCGAGGCTTTATTTTCGCGATTTCAGAGTAAAAAGGGCTCAAGGGCTTTAAAATTTTACGAAAAAATCGTCTTTATTTTCGCGTTCGGCTTGCTACATCGCGAAAATCGCGAAAATTAATACTCGCGAAAATTAGTGAGAATAAGGTAGGTCAGTGTTATCCTGTTCCCAGAAAATATTTATCCATGTTCCTCAAAAAGTATATTTATGGATTACTGGCCATGATTGTGCTCCTATCATTTTCCCCCGTGTTCCTTAAAAATGTTAATAATACCCATAGTTCCTCTGCACCACTTGTATTACCACTATCTGGGCTCTGTATCTCAGGGAGGGTACTCAGGTACGTACTGTACATAGTGGCGGAATCGGTCGTAAAAATGGCCATTATTGTTATCATTACACAAAATTGAAGAATAGGTTACCCATAACATTTGAGCATTGCGAGCCAGAAATCTTTAGCCAAATATAAAGTCTAACCACTATTTGGGCTCATCAGAATGCTATTTAGCCCGGCGAAGCTAACTGGAATGCCATTTAGGTAGACTTGCCTACAAGTCGAGCTCAGAGATCGAGCGCGGACCGCGATCGAGAGCCGGGGCCTACTCCCAACCGGAACCGGAAACGAAGCGAACGAGTTTGAGAAAGTCTACGTACCATTTAGGCTAACCAGGGTGTTACAGGTAACAAGAATGGCTTACTGACTGGCACTTTATCCGGCTTTATCATAAAGATCCACTGATTTATGTTTCATGACCTTTCATGTGTTTGTATCTGGCTGACGAGGAAATTCAATATATCGAAAAATTTGGCTTGTCCCCCTCTACCAGGGTTACCCAGCTGCCCCCAAACCATCTTTGCAATTTGGAGTGGCATCTGGCCAGATCTCGCATTTTGTCCTCTTTACAGCCACCCACTTTGAAGTTTTGTAACTTACACTTAGATTCATAGAAATTCGTCACAAATTTCTGAATACCGGCGATCTACTGCAAACGGACTTCGGACCAATGACTCTCACTCAAGACTTGACTTCGACGTAGTTTAATCACTTCTCGGTGTACAATAAGATGTACAACTAAATCGCCCGAATGTAAATCGAAATTACAGGAATAACTGAGGACTGCTCTATTTATACTAATGGTTGTTTCACTCTAGCCTCCTCCGCAGGCAACTCCTGGGTCTCCGGGGTCTGGGGCAAGAAAGGGGCAAAAGAATTACACCATCATTGCATCAGCCAAATACATACATTGCATCAGCCAAGTACAAGGTCCAAGCTAAAAATAATATTACAGTAAT